AGGTATGCATAACTGGTATAGGATGTGCAGAATGCATAGTGAGTGTGCTTCATAAGAAACAGCTTCTCCCTGAAAATTTTAGCTGGAGAAATGGCTCATCATCCTTACAGCTGTATCTATTCTTGTGACTCCCTGTGTGCCTCACACCCAGCCACCAGGGGGCGGCACACGCCATTCTTCCTGTCCAGCAGGGCTAGTGCAGGCAGTGGTTGATGGCTCAGCACCTTTCTTTAGCCTCTAATGAGGTGCTCTTAGGTCCCCGCTGTGTTCCACCTTCGTCTCCAAGTTTCTTGTCCTCACCCCACCCCCTTCCTTTATTCATTTCACAAATATTTAATGAGTGCCTGCCCAATGCCAGGCGCTGATTGCCTAATGAGAAAGATTAGATACTTCCGGCCTTTAGTGAACACCTAGTCTAAAAGGGGATGCCAGAGGGGACAAGATGCAGAGGACCTGGTGGGGAGGGGAAGAACAAGTCTACACTACCTTCTTATCTTGTCTAGAAAGTGCAAGGGAATCCTTTCTTATTTCTCCCTGGAGATGAACTCAGAGCTTTGCACACATTGATCAAGTACTTTCCCATTGGGTGACTCCGCAATCCCAAAAACATGGCTGCTCACGTTACCTGTTCTTCCAACTCATCAAATTTCTGAGTTCAGCTTTTCAACCTGGTGCCTCAGACTCTACCTGACACCTCAGTTCCTCATATCCATACTGAGGCTCCCACCTCAAATAGCCTCAACTTCTCACTCAAAAATTTCAGTCCCCTTTACCCAAATCTTCTGGAGCTCAATCCCTTACATCAACTATACGGGCTCTCTCCCTTAAAGAGATTCCACAGGCTGTCTGTTTCATTTGCATTTCTTAGCCCCTTTCCAGCTACCAATAGAGGGATGGGAAAATACTCTCACCCCAAACAGCGACTTGTCTGGGAGCATGGGCACTGAATGCAACAGCTTCTGAGCCCACTCTCCTGGTGTGACCTCCAGGAACAAGGACACCCCTTACTCCAGAGTTGGGGGTTGTCTGAAGGGTTTCCATTTTTACTTAGGGTTTCCTATACCAATTATCACATCATGGTCACAGTTTTCCAATGCTCCACCACTGCTTAATTCTTTCAGAGTTCTTTGAAGAGGGCTCATTCATGACCTTATCGCCTCTTCTGAAACTAGTACTAAACTCTTACAGAGTTGGAAGGGCTCAGAGAAACTACTCCAGCAGATTTTAAACTTCTTTTTGACCAAGAGTTACACACAAGGACTGGAGAGACGGCTCAATTGTTAAAGAGCACTGACTGCTCTTCCAGAAGACTAGATTTAATTCCCAGCACCAATATGGTGGCTCATAGGCTCTGAGTCCCTCTTCTGGCCTCAGAGGACACTAGGCATGCATGTAGTACACAGACATGCAGGCAAAACCCCATACACATTAAATAAAATAGTAATAACGATAATAGCCAGGTAGTGGTACCTTTAATCCCAGCACTTAGGATGCAGACGCAGGCCAGGTCTCTGAATCTGAGGCCAGCCTCATCTATAGAATGAGTTCTAGGGCAGACAGTACTACAGAGAGGAACTCTGTCTTGAAAAACCAAATAATAACAGGGATGATGGTGATGGTGATGATGATACATACTCTATAAATGAATTTACATACATGTGCACATATATGTGTGTATAATGGGAACATGACCATCTAATCCTTAGTATTTAGAGTACTATGGGCTGAGCCCTGTGTATCCTATGGACACAAGGCTGATTTAATTCTCCTAGCATTGATTTTACAACATCTCCCAATATGTGAGCAACTATGCTTTTGTTTTAATGGTATCATCTCCCTTGTACTTGCATTCGTTTATTTATTTGGCTTTTTTGAGGCAATGTCTTACTGTATAGCCCTAGCTGGCATAGAACTCACTAGATAGACCAGGCTATTTCTCAAACTAGTCACCATCTTGTGATTACAGGTGCGTGACGGCGCACCTGCCTCCCCTTTCAATTAAATAGCTCACTTCCAACTGCTCTGTTTTTCTTAGATTGGAAGAGTAAGTGTTCTCACATGCTCTAAAATCACATTCTGAAATTAGGGAGGGAAGTATATGTCATTCAGGGGGGCAATATGTAATTTCCAGTGGCTTCAAGATGAAAGAAAATCAGAACAAGGGAGGGGTACCACCCAGTGGGGTACCTCTGGTGATTATCAAGGCATCAATTTCCTGTGTTGTTTACTGTTCCAGGAGCTCTGAGCACTGCCTGAGTGCTGGTGCTGCCCAGGGGACTGGCTACAACCAGAACAGCGCAGCCTGTGGACCCCATGAGGTTGCCATAGATACTGATGCGCAGGGAGCTAGCGAGCTGGTTACTGTTTGTGTGCACCGTCCCTCTAATTGCTGTGAGGTAGCTGGGGGTTGTGTGGGTGCTGCAGTAGTGGGGATCAAGAAGGGTGTATGCGAGGGTGTGTTTGTGCGAGTACACAGAAGTGTCTCCAGTCTCCAAGCTGCCAGAGTGGACACGGCAGAGGTCTGGGCTATTAGGAGGAATAAATGAAGGAGGGAAGAAAGGAGTAAGGTAGAGATGTAAAAGAAAAACGGAGGCTTCGAATTGTACAAATTATAAATCTCCACTTTATTAGGACACTCCACTGAAAGGCGGTGACAGATAGGAGGTAACTGATGAACATTTATTGAAAACTGGGTGCTTCCATTTATACGGTAATATGAATCATTTCCAAGATTTCACCCAATATTTTCCTACATCATTTTCCATTTCACCCAGAGACTCAGAGTGCTTTGGATGGTAATCCTGAAGCATCCAGTGTAGATCCCGTAGGTGGGATGACAAACTGCTCACCACAAGCACGCTGGGCCAGTCAGGTTTGACATTTTCCCCAGGGTACCCCTGAGAGACCCCGTCTTAGCCCTAGCCTGTGGTTGTGACTCTCCTCCGTCCACCTTACATTTATCAATGTGTGAGTTTCAAGTATCAGCGCCTGGAGGTCAGGAACCAGGTTGCCTCGAGCACTCAGGAAGGGCACACTGAAGAAAAACTGATACGCTGCCTCCATTTCTGGAGCACAACTTGCAGCTGCTTCTGCTGCCAAGGGTAGAGGAGAGAAACTAAAGACTTACTGGCATCCTTGATTTTACAACCTCCTTACCCTACCGGGCTGAGACTTGGGACCTGCTGCTTTGAGGTAGGAAGTGGCCCTGTCCCCTCCACTTAACTTCCTGTTGCCATGTGGAAGGGTAGAGTACACATTGCTCTTGTCATCTCTGCTCCTTCCTTGGGTCTTCTCTGCTCTCAGGTAATCAGTTAAGGCTTTCTTCTTGGACCCCACTTCCCCCTATTCTCCACTGGGTCCCCCTCCCCATTTTGCTCCCTGGGCTCTGGGATAAGCCCTCCCTTAGCATCTTGCTCTTCCCACCCCTCCAGAGGGAAGCTTGGGAGGCCAGGATACCTCTCAGCTGCCTCCCCTGGCAGCACCAGCCTGCTGACAGAGGAGGCTGGATTCCCAGTGGGCAACCTGCTGTAATCAAGACTGAGAGGCAGCCGTTGGCTGAGCTCCATTCTGCACAGTTGAGAATGGCCTGACTTGGGGTACAGCTGCCGGGGCACGTCGGGAACTTGCCCAGCATGTTTCTCCTTCAGAGTCAGTTTGACTTGACTGTGTCCCATGAACTTGTAATACTGGAGACAGAGCTATTCTATAAACACTGAGTCTGAGCTGAGCATCCATTTGAGTGCACAGTTTAATGGAAGAAAAATACTAAACACTAGCTGCAAACACTGTTTTAATAAGGTACTGAGGATTATTCTAAGTACTAGATGTGATTTAACCCGGTAAATGTTCACAGCCCTATGAAGTATACTGTACTATTATTTCCAGTTCTCAAATAAGGCCCAGACAGATTTCATGAATTGCCTAATGTCTAAAGTCAATGAGTTGTCCAGACATCAAGCTAGGAAGTATAATCCAAGAGTTCTCAATAATGTGTGCTAGCACTCATACCTGCAAATGTATCATTACAAAATGTGATAAAGTGCCATAAAATAAAAGTACAGGATGCCCCACAAGAAAATGAGTATACTTTCATCTTTTGCTTTTACCCACCAATGCACAAAGCCGTTTCAAGACATTCTCACTTTTATCTTTTATTACTGACCTAGGAGAGAACATTTATCTCTAAGATTGAAATGCAGGAAAGCATCACACAGGCCCGCAAGACAGCTCCGTGAGTAAAGATGCTTGCGCTAAGCCTAACTACCTACCATCCCCCAGTGTAGTGAAAAGAGAGAACCAACTCAAGTTGTCCTCTGATCTCCACACGTGCGCTGTGGCAACCATAAGGCCACACGCATACATATACGAAATAAATACATGGAAAGAAAGAAAAGCAAGCAAACGTCTTGCCCCATGGCCTGGTTTCCCTGATAAAACCGTGGCTGAAGGTTTTTTGGTTTGTTTGTTTTTTTTCTTAATGATGCCCTTGATTCTTGCACTAGTCTAGAGTGTCGGCACCCTGAGGGAAGGCTGCTGTCAGCTGGCTCTGCAGTCTGGGGAGTGTACAGTCTCACACACGCTCTTTGACCTTGGCATTTTCCGGCTGGGTTCAGGCTGCAGGCTTGGGACCCACGTGTGGGGCCTCTCCCCAGACCTCGGTGGTCCAGACCCATCACAACTCAAAAACCACTTTCACACATTCGTTCCTGAGTTGTTGCAGGGTCCGCCCGGGAGAAGCCCGCTGGAGGAGTCTTTCAGTGCGGTCGCTCCCGGTGGGTGGCCGGGAGAGGGGACCCCACGTCCCTAGCCCTCGGGAGCAGGGGGCCTAGTTCGGGCGGCTCCCGGGGTGGGGCGGGGCCGACGGCTGGAGGCCCCTCCCCGGGGGGCGGGGCGGGGGCCGGCGGGGCTTGGGGGCGGGGCCGGCGGGCGGGCGCGGGGGTGTCCCTCCCTCCCTCGCTCTCTCCGGTAAAGTCTCGCGGTGCTGCCGGGCTCAGCCCCGTCTCCTCCTCTTGCTCCCTCGGCCGGGCGGCGGTGACTGTGCACCGACGTCGGCGCGGGCTGCACCGCCGCGTCCGCCCGCCCGCCCGCCCGCCCGCCAGTATGGCCACCACCGCCACCTGCACCCGCTTCACCGACGACTACCAGCTTTTCGAGGAGCTCGGCAAGTACGGCCCACCCGCCACGCGCGGCGGCCCCCCACCCTAGTCCAGGCGTCCCGGCGCTATGCGGCTTCTCGCCCCGCCCCCCCGGCCCTGCACCGGCCGCTGCAGCGCCCCCACGACCCGCCCCACCCCCAGCTTTTCCCGCGTGCTGCCTCGGGGCCCCGTGGCTCTGGGTTCCCGGTCCCGCAGCCCCCTCCGCGTCCTGCAGCAGCTGCCGGGCTGCTGCACCCGGCGCTGCCGCGGGAACTGCAGCCCCGGGACTGCTCCAGGGCGCCTTCCAGCCCCGCCCCTCCCGCACCCTTCAGACGCTCCCCTCCCTCGACCCCGCCTGCCCACCGCCCCCTCCCCACCCAGCTGCGGAGCCCACTCAGCACCCGCTCCCCAGTTCCCACGCGCCCGGCACTCAGGACCCTCCCCAGCTCTGCAGTTCCAACCCCGCTGCGGTGTCCGGGTGTGGGGAGATGTTTAGTGCCGGGCCCCGCCCCCCGCTAGTGCGGCTTCCAGGATCCCAGGCTCGCTGCTGGGCAATGCTGCGGCACCCCCGGCCCCTCCCCCCCATCCCTGCAGTGGTCCCAGGAGCCGTGCGCCGCAGCCGCAGCATCCCCCTCCCCTCCGCACTGAGCTGGCCGCCGCAGCCCGGGTCCTCGCCACCCCCACCCGCGGTGCAGAGCCTGGCCACTGCAGCCCCCGCTCTGCCCGCCCCCCTAGATATTTCCAGAGCCTGAGATCGCAGCCCATTTGGCCGGTCATGTAGAGGAAAATAGCACGGGGAAGGGGAGTTACTGCTGTCAGAATCAGAGCTGTCTTTCCTGTTTCCCTGCTGTCAGTTGAGCCGGGATGCTATGGGTTTAAGCCAGTTTAGCGGATCTTGACCCTCACTTTCTCTCAGGCTTAAGGGAAATTTCTCAGGAAACCGTACCTTCTGTTTAATCTCCTCTTTCCCTACTTTGAATTGTTTCTGCTGAGAGAAGGAACAAGGTCTCCCTGTTCTTCTCACTCCTGGTTGCCTTTGCTGGGACCACAAGGCAATCAGTGAGATGCAGCAGGTGTGTATTTGAAGCATCGCCCACCAGTCTGAGGTTGAGGCTGTTGCTTTGCCCAGGAACTAGATGACGGGTTGGGAGCCAGGTGGTGCTCCACCCACATCTGTGTAGGCCATGGGGCCTTACCATTCCTATGTTAGCTGTTGGTTGTCACTACAAGTCCGGTGGTGGGAGCATGGCTGTCCTCTTCTGAAGGGTGTGTGTCACTTTGCTTGGCTCCATGTCCCAGTTCTTCTCCCTTCTCCTTCCAGGGGTGCCTTCTCAGTGGTCCGAAGATGTGTAAAGAAAACATCTACACAGGAATATGCTGCAAAAATCATCAATACGAAGAAGTTATCCGCCAGAGGTGAGTATGCCCTGTCTGGGCCTCTCCTTGAGGATCTCTCCAGAGATTAGATTTCGGCAGGTGCCCTGGGAGGTGGAGGAGTATGTGTTTTAGCACTTGGAGATGAGTTGGAATTTCAAGGTGGGTGGACTTAGAAGCCAGACAAGGAGTATGAGGGAATTAGAAGTGTTCAGGGAGGGAAAAAAAAAAAAGTAAGGGATGTGAGTACCTGGAGTGGTCCCCAAAGGCTTGAGTAAGTTCAGGTTTTCAGTGGAGAATTGGGAGGCTGTATTTGGTATGGAATGAATAGCTCTTAATTTAGGGTACTTAAAGCCCCTCTCTTTAGGGCAGTGCTGGCTACTGCAGGCTTGTCCTAGCCCATGTGCCCTGGTGGTAACTTAGGGTGGGAATGCAGTAAATGAGCAGTTTTGATGAATCTAGCCTCCCCTGCCCACCAGGCGGCAGAACAGACTCCCAAGGGAAGGAAATCTGTAAACATCAGGGGAGGCTGCTACTGGCGAGGGCTTCTGGGGAACAAATTCTGCCAGATGAACTTGATTCCTTTTTTTGATCAAATTACAAACTTAATGGTGAAGCAGCAGATGCAGTCTGTCCTGGGCAGAGTGTGATGATACCTTGTGTTCTCTAAATCTCAGTGGTCTGGATGGAGCAGGAGTGGCAGTGCCTCAGTGTGCAGGACTCTACAGTGCAGGCCCTAGAGCCTTACCTGTGAGAGTCTAAGTACCTAAGACTGAGAAGCTAGAGTCTGTCTTTAACACTTCAGATGTACATCTCTGAAGCTGGTATTGGGTGTTTGCCAAACTTACCTCATCTGATAGGTGTAGACCCAGCAGTGTGTGAGGTGACTTGGTCTGGTTAATACAGAGGTCAGGTCCTGAGAGCTGCAGATACAGCACAGTGACAAAGGTTATACGACTCAGAGAAAGGAATTAGGGCTGGGCAATAGGACTCCCATAAATATATTAGGAGCCAGGACAGATGCCCTGGGGAAGATGTGGTCTTTGGCCAGTAGTGATGTGGGCATCGCTAGGGAGAGATGATAGATGTCCCAAGCACCCAGAAGCTCTAGAATTCCAGAGAGATGACCGTGGGCTTCTGTCCTGTTGGCAGTTGTTCTGGGACCTGTTCCATAGGGCTGTGTCTGCCTCCTGGTCTGAGTGTCTCTCCCTGTTCCTGTTACCAAGGCTCGTTTTGTTGTCTCCCACTGGCTGCATCTCCTGTCTCATACTACTCATGTACATTGGCTGTAAAGTTGACTTGTTTTCTTTCCATCGGGTACCTTGAGTCCAAGGCAGTGGTTGTCATAGAGATATGTGGGTGGTCAGATGCCCTCCTCCTCCTCTGGGATGGGGGGGACAGCAGTAATTGGGTTCTCTGGCAGACATGCTCTGACTAAGAATGGAAGGGGCAGGCAGGAATGAGGTGAAGATGGGTATCTCTCTGTGCCCACACAGCCTAGCCCTGCTGTATCAGAAGTGTGGCTGATAGCAGGTATCTCCAGCGGATGGTGCAGTGCTCTGCTTTGCTTCTCTCCAGAAACCCTATGGTCCAGGAGTAAGAGAGGGATAGGAAGCTGAGAAATGAAGACTGGGAAACTGAAGGTAGCTGGTTACTACCAACCTAGGGCTTTCGTATTCTATCCTAAGCCTATGGGATAGTGTCCCTTTTTCTTCCTCATAGACTTTCTGCCTTATCCTTCTTTCCAAACTGGTATCTTGGTATTCTTTCTCTCCTGAACTGGATGAGATTTAATTTCTCTGCTTTTCTTTTCAGCCTGAGAATTCCAGAATAAGATCATGTGTGTCAGGCAGCAACTCCCCCACTTGAGAGATGGCTATGCCAAGACTGAGGCTTTGGCTTATGTACCAGGTTAACTTTGGGACAGAGGCTCATGGCAGCTTGTGGATCTGCTCAGATGCCAAAAAGAGGGGTCAGGAATGTAGAGGTGCCATTGCTGTTTGGAGGTGGGAGAGTGGAGGGCGTACGATTGGAGATGGTGTGCTGGTCTGCCGATGTCGCCACAGGGGTTGAGTCAAGGTCCCCACCAGGCTGGTACCCATGGGGTTCAGGAGTGAAGACCATGGCTTCTCTGCAGCCTCTCAGTTTACGCTGTATATTTTATAAAGGTGCTGTAGCTGGGGCTGGGTTTCACTTGCTGCTGTCTGTCTGTCTAGGGCTCCGCAGGTGTTGGATTTCTGTGTTTGGGAATGTCATTGCCTGACTAGGGTCACCTATGTGAAGGTCTGAAGAGGCTTGCTGTGTGCGCTGGGATTCCGTGAAGATTTGCTTTCTTTGTGATTTGTCTGTGCTGCAAGCTAGAAGGCAAGAAAGGGTAGAGAGCTACTTTTCCCTGTTGTCCTAATGAGACGGCCCAAGAGGCCCTAGACAGGCCACTCTGGTGTTCTGGGTGTCAGATCTGGATAGGAAGCTTTCTTGTGGGCTGTACTTTCTTGTCATTGTGGCCTCTGAGGCCAACATTGGTGGCTGAGTTATTAGGTAGGCTGCTCATACGGGTGTGCGTTGAGCATCGTGTTGGTTTTTATCTGCACGCCTGTCCACATAGGCACTGAACGCTATGTCACACCGTTGTTTTTGCTTCAGTGCAGTGATGGGTAGGGACTTGGGACTTGTACGGGAGAGCCCATGGTTCTAAGCTTAGCTCTACTAGGCTGAAGGAGGCATTTAAAATAGGCTTGGATGCAGGATCTAGTGGGCCAGGTGACGGCAATGATAAGACGTTATTTTAAGATTTAGGAGCACCCCCCCCCCCCAAAGAGCCTGAGCCCTTATGTCTTTTTTTTATTTTTAAATCTTCATATTCCCTTCTTATCTTTATTCATATGCATACAGATTTTCACCTCGTAGAGCATAACATTTTATATCCTCCTCTCTTTGCTTATATCCAGAGCATTTCTCCATATTGCTCCAGTTGAAGGGCAGCAAATGGTTCTTTCTGATTTCTATGTAACTTAGGATTTATCCTTGGAGGCACCATAAGAAACCTCTGTATTTGGATTATTTATCTGGATTCCAGATCTGTTGATTGACATTGATACTGGAGTAACGCCCTTGGCCTTAGGAGGGATGCTACCAGAAACAGCGTTATGAAATCTGTTACAGCATTTGCTGTATTATTTATTCGTTTGTCCGTATACTTCATGTCAAGAGACTTCTGCTGAAACTAGGTATAAGAAAAGTCTTCCTCTCCATGAGGACTTGAGAGGTGAGGGAAAGTCCTTATTTTTTTCTTTGCTTTTGTGTAGGCAGGCCCTAGCAAAGTACTTGATCCACAGTGAGCATGTATGTATAAAGTGAATGAATTAAGAGGGCTAGATAACTGGTTGTGGTTGCTTTTGGGGTTTGGCTCCTAGGGAACTCAGAATCAAGTTTCTGGAGACCGTTGGGCCCTGACTGACCTGAGTTCCCCTATTTTGATTCAGTGGCCAGGCTGCTTAGGAGAGAACAGGAGAAGATAAAGACTTGTACTTGGGGCATAAAGCAGTTTAGCTTATGATTCCTCTTTTCTTGTCATTAATGGCCTTATAGGACCTCTTCTGGGACTTCCTCTAAGGAGTTGACTTTGAATTTCAGTGCCAATGAAGCTCACTTTGAGTACTGGTTAAAATAGCAGCTCCCTGGCTTCTATCCACACACATTGTGCTTTGAGAGGTCTGGGGTCCCCAGGCATGCTTCAGGTAACCTACGAGCCGCTTTTTAAGAAATCAGTAGATGGTGGCACAGGCCATTATTCCCAGTACTCTAGAGACTGAGACAGAATGAGTGCCACAAGTTCAAGGCCAGCCTAGGATATATATGTCAAAACCCTGCCTCAGAACGAACAAAACAGATAAAATCACAAAGCAGCACCACCACCATCAGTCACTCTAGGCATCTTCTGGGATTCACCACAGACACCTTTGCCCAGCCTTCACTGGCATCTCAGGTGGTCTCAGCTGTCACATGGCCATCTGTGCACATGAGTTGATCTGTGATTAGGGGCCTCACTCTCTATCCCTGTTTGGGGTGTCACTTTGTGTCTGAGGCCATGGCAGGCTGAGTATCTGATGTTGTGTGGTATGTTGGCTACCAGAAGGGTAAAGGCTGTCCCTTTCTGGGTCCAGCTGGCCCTGGGGACTGAAATGGGATCCCCTTGAATGGTGCCAGGTGAAAGTCCCCACCCCCTTGGTGTTGGCCTGAGTAGCCCCCATGACATTTGTGTCCCCTGTGGTATCTCCAAGTAAGATTTTCCTGTTAAGGATCTGGGTGAGGTGAGAGGAGGAGAAAATCAGGATGGTGTAGGAAGGGAAAGAGAACAGTTAGAAGGTGCCCTACACCTCTGGGTCTCGAGGGGAGATTTCAGAGGTTCTGTGTGAAAACAAACTTTTCAGTTGAGGAAAAAATAGGCTGATTTTTAGATATCAAGAAATGGTTTCCTGCATATAAGTGACGGAGTTCTGAATGCTTCCCTGCCATGCATGGGGGAGTAGGGTGGAAGTGCCACCTCTGTGCCAAGGCTTCTGCTTGGCTACTTGTCATACAGTTAGGCTGAGAGGTACGGAGCTTAGTTATAGAACACTGACCTGTCACCTAGTCCTCTTACCCACCTTCCCAGAAGGAACTGAGGTGCTGTGTTGGGTGGGAATGTGGGTTAAAATGTGTCCTGTTCTGTAGAAGAGGACCCTGATTTTTTTTCCTGTTGCTTGTCATCATATCCTTGTCAGAAGCTGTGCTGAAGCCCTGGAGGGAAGTGACCAGCCGGTCCTTTGCTGAAGCTGGAGCAGGGAGGGGGTTTGGTATGCTCACTTCCCACTCCCCATCCTGTGCTTGTTACTTTCTGAACAGCTTTGGCGGACGGACAGGGGCTGACCCCATGGGTGCTAGAGGATGCTGACAGAAAGAGATGGGTACTTTGCACTTCTTGAGTGCCTCTGTAGAGGCCTTTGTCACCCACACATGCCCAGACAGATGTGGCCTTGTGGACACAGAGGCATGAAAGATTG